GGGGTGTGGGGGGGGGGCAGTACGCGCCCTTTATCTCATCAATGCGAGAGCGCCTCTCTCTTCCCTCTTTGCGATTGAGATTTGCTAATAGTTCAAAATTTTCTACTACCTAAGTGTACTTTTATTTGACCTCAAAGGATGTTGTTAGAAGTTATGTGCTTTTTCACCTAAGCCCCAAGCCAATTTTCCAGCGCGCACGCAAAAACCCCCGTATTTGCAGAAACTGGTAGAGGGGGGAGAGAGGCTAATTAAATCCATCCATTTCCCCCCCCCCCCCATTGTGAATGAGAAATTGACGTCTCTTTTGCCATTGATTCGCGTATTATTTACATCTTAAGCACATTATATTTCAGGTTTTTTTTGCGTTTTAAGGAGAACCAGATATCTAAACACGTATTCATTTTCCCTTATTTGAGAATCCATGTTTTGTGGGGTTCAATTCAAGGGTATTGGTTATTAATCTACTTACCTCACTAATTATCGTAGGTACTTGTGTTTGAATCCCGCCAATTGTATGGACGAATAAGAGATGATATTCAGTGGATTATTATGGCATTCCCATTTTTTTGGCGGAAGTTATCCCTATTCATTTGAAGTTGTCATCACATTGCACAAGTTGTTCCAGTAGCTATCCGCATCTTGGTGGTGCTTCGCCTGTGTTTGCAGAATGCGATATATCCATCCTTTATTGATACGTATCTTGATATGGGCAAGACTTCATGCGTGGGTTTCATCTATATGCAGTTTACTGCTAATCAATTGATTGCCCACGGGGTTCAGATCCGAATTACGGCTACTTCAAGTATATCTGACCATGATAGTCGTCTAGGCACATTCTCCTTGCCCTAGTCATTTTCCTTGAGCTAACAGGATAATACATGAGCTTGGTTGGAGAGATGTGTGTGTTGAGCGACTTGAAGTGAACAAGAGAGGAAAGAAGACCTTGGGAGGAAAGAGGAGTCGTGGGTGTACTGAGCGAGGACAGCCTGAATTGTGAGAGGCAGGCGATCTGGGAACGAAGTGTTGCTTAATCGATTCCACTTTCTGTGTTAATTGCTTGTAGTTGCATAGAGAGTGAGAGGGAGAGTGTGTGTGTGTGTGTGTGAACGGCCCTGAGTCTAGTCTGAATTCATTCAGGAAAAATCTGACTTTATCTGGGCGCTTAAAGGTAGATGAATGTTAGCCAATATTTTGAATTACAATGGGGGTGGGGGGCGGGGACGATGAATTAACTGCACAAAACAATTTGGAAACATTTGTCACGTCCCCAGTATGGCGAGGTGGGAGTTGAGCTTATAGACCTCGGGGTCCAAACCTTGACCAGTCTTGAATGAGCATACTCAAAAATGGTTGAACTTTTGCCTCACTTTGGTTCTTTTTCCCCCCAGGTACTACGCTTCCCGAGGGAAGCTGGTAGCCAAGGCTGCCAAATATCCCCACATCGATGACTACAGGGAGTGCGTCCGTGATATGGACGAGAAACAGGCCATCTCCATGCGCTACGTCATCATGGAAATTCGCAACCACTATGTAAGCACATTTTCTCCTTCCTTCCTTCCTTCATTGAAGTGGCAGCGGTTTTCATTGACCAGCATTTTTGTTCATTTTGTAGTCGGTATTGCACGATTTGATTGACAAGAATATGGATCGCATCAAGGTGCCGAGATCGAACAACACAATGAGCATGTATTAGAGAATGTCCGATCTCACATGCTCCGCCCCCTCTCAGATCATGCACAAATAAATTTGTATACGCTAGCTTGCATTGTGCACTCGTGCTCTATTTCTTTTAAAATTCTACTTTTTTTGTCGATGCTTTCTCTAACCTACCTATATCTAACTATAGATTTAACTCAACTATGAAAGCCGCCGCCCACCGTTATTTTCTGATTACTTAGTAGATTAAAAATTGCTATTTAATAATTAATTTTATTGTTATTCGTTGTTAAGACTATTTCCTAATAAGCAACTTGAGTAGTGACAAGAGAGTGTAGACATGAATACGCATCGATTTCGTTTCCTGCATGGTTTTTTTTATTTCCATTCCTGCCGGATTGAGGTTGAGTGAGGGCTGTTTATGGGTCAAAAGGGAAGCCGACTCTTCTCAGCTAGAAGACTGGTCTGTGAGGAGAGAGAGCATTGTTATCAGACTCTTAGTTGGGAGGATTCACTTGATGCACCATGAGACATTTGGATTTCCGAGAGTCAGCTGCCCATGAAGTAAATATCGTGTTTAGACACCCCTTGTCATGTGACCCCCATATCAATATAAAATGACCTCTAATTTCCCTACAAGCACGCGTTTCTTTTTTCGCCTTGGTGTTGAGCCATTTTAAGGAACAGTTTTCTGGATTCTCCGGGTAATTTATTTCGGAGACGTTTCATCTCCACCTTAGATTATTTACCCTTGAATGATTCGACAAGCAAAGGAACAGGATTGCCATGGACTTTACAATTTATCTATAGAACTCTTAAGGAATCACGAAAATCAGGGTGAGAATACATGGATAAGCTTTGAGAATTTTCAAGGTCTTATAAAGGAAGGGTTCGTTAAATTCTATGTGATTATCGAAGAGAATGTTGAAAGTGCTGACGGTGGCTATGAATTTGAACAGAGGCCTGCTAAATCTCGAAGCGTTGTGGTAGAAGAGAAAGCCGATGGCTATGTTGCCTTCATGGATGATTATGATGTTTATTTTGGAGGTCCGGGAATTCTTGTTGACCAATTCTATGTCAAGGAGGAGTGTCGTGGTAAAGGCTATGGGAAGAAGCTCTTGAATGAGGTTTACAAGCAGGCGTTGGCACAAGATGCTAAGTACATCAAACTATTCTTCCAGGAGAGAGAAGACAGAAATATCATTTATAAACGCCTTGGATATAAAAATTACTCCTCGTCGGCTCCATTCCATCGGCTTCTCGAGATTTACCGTCCTTGCAATATAAGGCAAATTTTGGGACTGGATGTATTTGACGATTTCAATAGAACGCGAAAGAAAACCAAACACTCCCGGATACAGATATCGCAGTATAAAGAAGGTGACTATAACTATATTGTAAAACACCTTAAGCTCCTTTCTGATTTGGAGAATAAAGAAAATTGCCAGTTTCCTAGCCCGGATTTAGTAGTTGTTGCGAAGTATCCCTCGGAACCTCACCCACCTTCTGAACAGTCAACAAAACTTTATGTCAAGAAGCTCCTCGGGCCAGAATGGATGGGAGTCAATGGAGACCCCTGGGTTATACAGACTGAAATATCGGAAATTTCCAAGGCACGTGATTCAACTCTTCAAATATGCGGGTTTGTGGAACGTCCATCGATTTGTTGCTGGTTGGGGCATAAACTCACTTTTAGTAACTTCGTTGGAGATCTAAGCTTGATAAACAAGGATTTGATAGTAGGAAGAGTACGCTATTGGAATCCTGAATGGGGACCTATTCTAGCCGTCGATTTTGAAGTATCTGCCGACGAAGGTGAACCAACCGCGGAGAATAATGTCTTAGTCCGAACCCTAAAGTCCCTTGGACCCATTGATGAGGATAAATGGAATTGTGCTATTTTGGAAGAAAAACAAATTCGCTCGAATCTTGTAAAGGAGACCCGATGATTTGGTCTATTTCCTCTTTTGAGTTATTTAATTGGCCGATTTAAGTTACTTTCAGTTGATTCTGTTTTAGTTATATTTTATTTTTAATAATCGATCATTCCTTTTTTGTTTTGTGGTTTTCCTTGGTTCTTAAGAAGAGTTAAGGATGATTCAAAATTTGTTTGACAAGAAAATAATGGAGTATATTCGAAACAATTTAAAACTTTTTTAGTTGGTCATTCTAGCCACGTGGGCAATATTTTGGATGTTAAATATACGCTTTACTGAAATTTGCAAGTAGTAATGAAATCAGATGTCCAAGTATTGACATATTTGGTTTAAAGAAACCACACCAAAGACCACGGTTGCACAAGTGTTTAACAGAATTTCAAACTATTCGAAGAATTTGCTTTAGCCTGTGCGAATAAATGAATGGCCACTAAGACGTCAATTCTACAAATGGGAGTGTCTAGATGAGTTCTTTACTTAGATCACTTGATCAAGCAGTTTGGAGGTCCAATTCCATGTATGATGCGGAAAAATTAAGCCTCCCCCTCCAACTACTCGAGACGGAAGCAGTTAAAGAAAACTATGAGAGAACTACAAGAATGTGGCTGATATAAAATCGATAAGTCTAAAAGCAGCAAAGACATATAGCGCTGTTTGTTAAATGCTAGAGAAATTTAATAAGCACATTAGAGGTCGCGAAGTGCGTCATACCTAGGACGGAATGTGGGAGTTGGAGACATGATAAGTTATTGAAAGTAGATGACGAAGAAAACGTGCTCAGAGCTTCGCAAAAAGCCATTTATTAACGTGAGCTGTGCTATTCCATTATTTTGCGCCATTGGTTCATGTTAATTAATTTAAAACAGGCATCTAACTAAAAAAACCCTTGTTTAAAATAGCACATCTCTTACAACTAAATAATTCGTCTTTTAGGATTCCTAATAACACCAAGCATTTTTCAAGCTGTGCTAATGCTTTTTAAATGATTAATGTTAATTTTTTCTTAAGAATGTAATAACAATCATAATTCCGAAATGCGAAGTTCGATTAACCGTTAAAATGTGATGTATTATAGTAATGAAATAGCAAAGAACGAAAATTTATATTTTGGCAAAGAGTGCGGTGAAATCAACTGTAATTAGTTACCAGAGAGTGGAATAAATGTTAAAAGGAGGATCTCAGAGCATAATTGAGATTGCACCCGGTTCAACACAAATAAGCCTCATCTGAACCTCAGACATCTGCTCATGGAAAGTTCCATGGCATGAAACAGAGCGTTTGATGTGGAAAGCGCGTCGTTTTCAAACTTCTAACTTAGTTGGTAGATACAATGTTGAGTAAAATCGATTGCCGATTGACAGAGGAGTTAGTGCACACAGGGTCGGAAATCTCAGAAGTTTCTAAGTCGAATGAAACACATTTTTGGTTGGCTTTGGTGGGTTTGTGTACTCCATAGGGCTCCTATCTCAACTCAACATTGCGCATTTAATTATTTTTACAAAATTGGGGTGTGTAATAGACTTACCTCCACGTGGTAAACCCTAGGCAACGTATACTCATACGGCAAGAAAAGTCTATAAATCGCCAGTTGATTTCTGACTTCAAGCTACCATGACTCCACGGTATGTCATATTCGACCCCTTCCCCAGTACTCACCTCTCTTTTTTCTCTGCCTTCATGACTGTCGCTTTTGCATCTGTGATTCCTTCTTCTATCCCCCTCTCTCGAATTTTTCTCATTTTGATGTTCTTCCCTTGTGTGAAGCCTGAAGTCAACTAAAGGGCTAATGATAACTATCAAAACGCCTGTCATTTGAAATAAACAAATAAAATTTGCAAAATCACCGAGCAAAGTTTTTGAAGAAGGTTTGTTTAAATACGCTATATTTGAAGAATAATTAGAAAGGGGAGCATTTCTTTGGAAAATTAGAAATGTGCAAATATCTCTTCATTTCACCACGATTAGCAACACATTATCCAGACAAATTTTGGTTCCATTAAAAGGAGCAATTTATCATAGATTCCAGATGAACCACTCATTTTTTTGCCCTGATTTCAAACCTAAGCTTCGTTTTTATTGTTTACTGAAACTGAGCCAAACTGCCGCTAAATTTGCAAAATAAATAAATTAGAGGTTCTACTCGAACTGCGCACTAAACACCACGCTGGAATCGATTTATAATTACATTTTCACGAATATTAATATAATTTAGTTTTAAGCATATTTCAAATAACAGCCTAATTTATTCATTAAGATATGCTTTTAGCAAGTAATGCGATTTGTTTAGAGTTAGTAGAATTAGAATTCCATGACTTTGTCCTTTCCTGGGAATTTTTCAAGTTATGTTCCTTGAATTGAAAAATTATAATTTCAATTGGCAGGCTTTATGATATTTATCATTAGCCGTCTTCATTAGCTGTCTTCTTGCTTCCCAGTATCTCTGGCTTTCCGTCGTTGTCTTTGGAGCTGGACATCGAATCAGGTGGGTCTTCTCCATTTCCTCCTGTAGGTTACATAGAGGGCAGGTGGGTTGAATGTATACTCCCAATCTGTGAAGGTGTTTTGCCAAGCAATCGTGTCCGATACGTAGTCTAAACTCAGCAACGGCTTCGATTCTTGGCCAGTCGGCTATGTCAGAGAGTGCCACTGTCCACTGTTTCTCCATTATTTGAGCTTTGAGTTCGTTGCACTTTGAGGTTTTGAATTCTCTCCCGATTAAGGCATTCATTGTGTGGAAAGACATCGGCCGGTCTATGCCTTACATATCCCTTACCAGGCGGTCCATGCATTGCAAAATCGGTATCCCTTACCAAGTGCGTCAACAAGCTCATTGCCTTTAATGCCACAGTGACCAGGAGTCCATGGTAGGACCACTGTTTTGTTTTTCTCTCTCAGCAGCTCATAAAGTTGTCTACATTCCTTTATCTCAGCTGTTTTGGGTTGCTAAAGGACCACTGTTTTGTTTTTCTCTCTCAGCAGCTTTGCAGGACCACTGTTTTGTTTTTCTCTCTCAGCAGCTGATAGAGTTTTCTACATTCGTTTATCTCAGCTGCTTTGGGTGTAAATTGATAAATATATCCAACCATTTACATTCATTAACCCCAACTAGACTCAAATACTTTTGTGATCAATCATTGTTCTTTGGTAACGTGTGTGTGGGCGGGGGGCGCGTGAGAATGCATGTTCAAAGTTCGCAGATTGGAGCTTTTTCGAAGGTACTTACACAGGTGATTACTCTCCTCAACAGTCAAGTCCGATCACTCTACCATGCCTTACCACAAACTTGCGACTTCCTAGCCCATTTTAAGGATATTTTGCTTTCCTACCTAATAATGAAAGACACGGAAACGCCACTACCCACTCATTTAAACAAGGGCGTTTCCATAGATAAATATCATTGGCAGTCAGACAGATCAAACCACTTCCAAATGCAAGCATAAGTATATGCAAATTTTGTAATTAAGTAGTAAAACTAAGTTGTAGACGGCCTAAAGGTTTAAAAGTTCCTTTGAAAATCGAATACCGCTGGTGTATAGAGAACCTCTGTTCTCGAGAAGCGTTACCGTTAATACTACTCCCCACGAGAAATCCTCTTTCAGATTCATGATAAAAACCGACTTCTTAAAAATAAGCATAATTTTTTTTGCAATTTAACATAAAGTAGTTCAAGAGTTGAACTGGCGCCAGACAAAACACAGGGGGATAAAAGTTAAGAGGATGACTTAAAGGAAGTGATAATGAAAGTCGGATGTAGACGTCTAATTAATTAATTGTGCGTGTCAGTTAGAACATTTATTTATTTCAAATGGCAGGCTGTATGATGGCTATCAGTAGTCCTTTAGCTGACTTCGGTCTTCACAGAAGGGATGAACATTAAAGTGGGAAAAATTCGAGAGGGAGAACAGAAGAGTGACTTAAAGAGGTAAAAGTGACAGACATAAGGTAAAGGGTAAGGTGAGTAATGTGCACATACAGTGGGGTGATGGTAGTTTGAAGTCTGAAGTCAACTGCCCAGTAATTGCCTTTTTTGCCGTATGAGAATGCGTTGCCCAGGGTGCACCACGTGGAGGTATGTCTATCGCACACCCCTGTCAGTTAGAATCAGAAGCCTGGAGACATCGCGTGTGCTCGACACTTTGTGCTGAATGTATTCCTGTTTGAATACTCGCTGATTATTTTATTTCAATTAAATAGGGTGGAAAAAATGGAGTTTAACAGATATTTATCATTAACTTATTAATAAAATTAATTTATTTAAGAAGCTATTTTAACTTGAGCTAATTTCATTTTATCTCGTTGGTTCCCTATCGCACCTGCCATTTTATTCAACAAATTGGCAAATTCGCTTTGTACGCTTTTGAAACAAAAAAGATCGTGAAAATTTAAATCCCTTTTATTTATTTTCATCACTCCGAAAACTTCTTTTTTACGAAAGAATAAAAGCATGACTTTTTACATTATATGCTCAAAGTATATCTGTTCTTTCAGTAGGAAGTGAAAAATTTCATGAAAATAAATAACTGCCTCAAAGCTTTCGATATAAGTTGATAAAATGTCATTTTTATTACCGATAGAAAACGAATTCGAGGCTTCGATTAATTCGAAAGAGAGAGACTCTTTAATTTAACATCAAACGCTGAATAAGTTCTCCCATCTGAAAGCCATCTCCCCAGAGAAGAGGGGTTTGAAAAGACTCGCGAGATATGGACGGAGTTTTCGCGAAAGATTTTTTTGGGGGAGGATTTCACTATGTCAAGTAAATTTTCCGAAGAATTACTCTAAGTACTCAAATCCCCAAGGCGGTGTTTAAGGCAAGCACGCCAACTACTTCATCACAAATTATTCCCATGAAAAATTAATTTCCTCTTCATCCTCGAAAACAAAGGCTTTTCGGGTTCTCTCTTTCTTTTTCAACTGCCAACTGAATGAGAGATTTCATGCAGTGGGGGAACATGGTCACGAAAGATCAACAACTAATAATAATAATTTTTATATGCGCACATTAAGCGCTC